TCATAGAAGAGGTAACTATCTGAAGAGGGAGATAGATTATAATCTATTTTTAGGAAGAATAAAGCAAAACATTGAGTCCTTCGCTGTGCAGAGCCTGAGAAAGGAATCACCTCATGAGTCTGAATTGAGGATGTACTTGGTTGAAATAGCTTAGAGTGTATCAAGTTCCAATGAGGCTGAGATAGGAGTTTTGTAGGAAACAATCACATGAAACTAGGAGATTCTCTACAATGTCAAAAGCTTTAAATGTTATCAAGAGTACAAGTCTTTTAAAGGTAATTTAACGTTCTTTCTTAAGGAAAAAAAAAAAGGACAAGAAAAGGTCACTTTCAACTATTTCCCTGATGCTGATGGAATCAGAAGGAAATTCTAGACTAGAACCATATCGCTATTATTCTACTAGAACATCTTAATCTGTTTTCACTCCTTCTTGCCCATGTGTATGAAACATAAGCAATAAAATCAAAGTTCTTTTTCTGAAACAACTCACAAACACACGAAACAGATCTATACAGCCTTACACATTTCTGATTTTCTGTAGAACTGCTTTTTAATGTATTTTTTAAATTGTTATGGGAAATAATCCCATCTCCAGATTTTTTACTTCAAAGAAAACTTACAGCAACTTGACTAGGGTCAGGGAATAAGAATCTACGAGAAACTAAAATGTGATTCCCAGTGCTCTTCTTTACTTGTTTTGCCAGTTCTATAAAATAGCCCATTACGACCTGCCACTCCCAGCGTCGGGGAACTGCTGGCAGAAGGGAATGGCTTACACCACCTCCACTCACTGGTGATGTCTACCATTTGTTTCTCTGTATCTGCCAGGGTACCAGCAAGACTGTAGTGAACAAGCAGTCCCAGATCTAGTTGGAATAGATAAACTCTTGGCACTGTGAGTTTTTCTTCTTTTTCCTTTTCCTTTTTCCAAGGTTTTTTTGGTTGGTCAGTAGGAGAAATAAAGCTAATATGAGTATTGGTAGAGTTTTGTTTTTAATGCTTTGGCTCAATTCTAACCAAAAACATATGACAAAGTAGAAGAACCTGACTTGACACACATGACTTATTTTAGTTCTTTCTCCAAATACTTCCTGTATACAGAGAGATTTTTATTTTTGTCTATGTTTCCTGTTTTTTCCCCAGTTGTATTGAGATATAACTGACATACAGCACTGTATAAATTTAAGGGACATAGCATAATGATTTGACTTACATATGTGAAATGATTACCACAATAAGTTAACATCCATCACCTCAAATATTCAATAGATGCAGGGAGAAAAGGGCCTCTCTACTTGTGATGAGAATTCAGGATCTATTCTCAATAACTTTAATATATACCACACAACAGTGCTAACTAGTCATCATGTTGTACATTACATCCCAGTACTTATTTTATAACTGGGAGTTTGTACCTTTTGATCACCTTCAACCAATTTCCCCGCCTACACAGAGGGCTTTTAAAAATAATGCATATAACACTTGTGGTCAAAAGAGGAATTAAGCAATTTACAATAGGCAAGATAATGGCCACCCAAAGATGATCCTGCTACGCCCCTCCAGCCCCAGAATGTGGGAATATATTAGGTTACATGGCAAGGGGGAGTTAAAGTTGCTTATCAAATTACCTTAAAATAGTGACATGATTCTGGATTATCCAGGTGAGTTTAACGTAATCACAAGCGTCCTTAAAAATAAAAAATGAAGGCAAGAGCGTTAGAGTCCAAGGGAGATGTAATTATGAAAAAAGTTCAGAATGACAGGAGATGAGAAGGACTCAACCCACTGTACCTAAATGGAGAAAGGGGCCAATGAGCCAACATGTAGCCTCTGGAAGCTGCAGAAGGCACAGTAACGGATTCACCCCTAGAGCCTCTAGAAGGAAACAGAACTCTGTCAACACCATTTTAGCCAGTGAGATCTGTGTTGGAATTCCAGCCTACAGAACTCTAAAATAATGAATTTTTGCTGTTTCAAGCCACTCAATTTCTGGAATACTAATACAAACACCTATCCTCTTAAGGTTCCAGGAGCAGAGTACGGAGATCAGGCTGACCGGTATATATTTTTTAATATGTGGAAAAAGCCTACAGCTGGACCTATAAAAACTCCTTATTGGGTATTTTCTCAGCCGTAGGAAACTCCTTCTTTATTATCCCCCTCCAAGTAAAGGATCTGGTAAGTACCCCAATTAACGGGATCCCTTCTATAATACTTGCTGAGAAGGAATGAGATTCTGTTAGAAGTACTATTAGCACAGAAAAAAAATGTTCAAAGAATCTAGCTGTAGTTCTTACCATCTAAAACACCCAAGTCTGTTGAGGTGGGGGTTTAACACCACCAGATTCTCTAACAAAAATACAAGTGAAATGGATGGAAATGGATGTATTGTTTGAGAATATTCAATTCTTCTTGGAAGAAAAGATATAAATAGAATGGACAAGTCATGTGTTAAGCACAGATAAGTTACGACCTGCGACACATGGTGGACAGATAAAAGTTAGTAGGGCATATACTTGTGAACACAGAAAACGATTGAATGACCAAGAGATGCTTAATATTGATGACACACTAAACATACAAGAGGCACTAATACTCATTTTCTATATTCCTGACACACTAAATATACATGAGATATTCAACATTTGCAGGTCTTAGTTCTGCCACCTAGTGGTGACAGTCACACTGTGTCCCACATGTCCTGCTCAAGAAGTGCAAAACCTTTACCTGCTCACAGCAGGTTAATTAGCAAGCTACTGCTGTGGACAGAAATTCTTGCCAGTGCATTGCTCCAATGGAGCCAGAGTGTGTCATTGGCTTAAGCACCTACCGTCTCTGGTCCCTCGCTCAAACTTCAACTCTGGTCCAATTATGATACCATCAACAAAAAGGCCTATGTGCCAAAGAGACAGAACATACGGACACTGCATAACCACAGGTTCCAATTCATGGGTCTTCCTCTCTCATTTTTACCCTGCCATGGGCGTATCAATTTTCTCCTCCCCTAGCCCCCTGCTTCTCATGATGTCCTAGCCTTTCTTTCCATGTCCTCTAGGGTATCTCACCTGGTAGTATGTTTGGCGGGTATCATTGCATCGAGATAACTTCTCACACAGCTCAAAGCAGGTAATACCTGGGTATTTCTAAGCACTGTATGTTATAAAAATTTAACAAAGAATAAAACTCTTTTGTCTAATAGCCTATAATATTCAACTCTTTGCACTCAAAAGAAAGCCTTTCCTTAAGTGTAGATTGCCCTGGCAACAAGAGAATCTCTAATTTTGGCAGGCTCTAAGATATGTCCTTAGAAGAACTTTTAATCTTTAGGCTTTCCAAATAAACCAGATTAAGAATTTTTAGAATACTCATTATAGTAGGGTATAGTTTAATTACAAGAAGCCAAATTTCTTGATCCTGAAAAGGTCACTGGACCTTTGATTACTGCATGTTTTGTGACTAGACCTCATTGTTTCGGATTAGACAGCAAGAACTTTCAGTGTGGGTTTTTTGTTTGTTTTTGGATTATTTGCCTGTTTTTTGAAGAAACCTACGGCATAAACTCCTTCCCCCCCCTGCCCCCCCAAGGCCCAGTAACAGGGAAGGGCAAAGGGAGTTCGGAAATAAAGTTACCCTAAAAAAACCCTGCATCATGGGTGGGTGCTGGTCCTAAATCAGAAAGTGAATGTGAATGGGTGACTTGAATCTGTGAGGTTGTCAGCAGGTGGAAATAGGTATGAGTTGAAAAAGTTGGTTGCTCGGGCCTCTTAAGGCATAAAACCCTCTTGGGTGAGGGCATTACAAAGGGGGTGTCCTTTTCTCATTAACAGCAATAACCACCCTCGCGCAAAGCAGCTACTGTAGCGGGGAAGAAAGGGGCACTCTTTCATCACCTGCGGTAGGTGGCTGTGCATTTGAGAACAGCGACTCCACTTTCCTTTTTACTTTTTGAACTGTAATACCTACAACTGTTACCTTTTGCCTGTCCAACCGCTGTATTTTGGGGCATATAACTTGGCCCTTTAGTTTCACAGGTGATAGTAACATTCCGATTGTGTTGAGGAGATTGTTATTTTTTAGTAAATGCACGCAAAAGGATATAGGGGGTAAAGTATCATAATGCCTGCATCCTACTTTCACATGCTTCAGGGGGAAAAATACACCTGAATATAGATTATGCAAATATAGCATAATTTTTGAATCTAAGTGACTGATCCTGTCATACCCACGATGAAAACCCCTCAATATTATATTCGGTTAAGTTGAATTTACACTTTGAAAAAAATTGTTACATATTTTCTCCAAAATACATAACTTGCAAGCATTATTTCTGAAAATGCATAATGGCTAAACTTGGTTTATCGGTTTTCTTTACATGTATGTTAGGCACAAAGCCTGCGGAGACATGTAAGGCCAGGCGACCCCATTGCATTCCCTGCCTGCGACCTCTAAGCACAGGCCTCACGGGCCGCTGGTCTGAATTCAAAGGCCTACATTTCTCACGGTCTAAGTGTTAGTTACTAGTGTTCGTCGACGGCTGCTTTTGCTTTTCAGGTTCGGGATCGACGCACGCCGGCGTTTCACGCGCTGCTCCGGGACACTGTCTTCTCCCGCCACCGTGGAAGTGGAGCTCCTCGAGGACGCTGGTGGAGGCGCGCGTCTGAGGCCTGGCCTCCTAAGACACCTCCGTAGGCGGCCGCCTCCTGTCCTTTCGCGAGGTCACCAGCGGGGCAAACAAGGAAGGCCACAGTGACGCGAGCTGACCCACAGGAAAGGTTTCACACCCCGAGCGGCCCCCGCCGGGCGCTCACTAGCTCGCCGGCTCAGCCTCCTGGCGCCCCGCCCACTGTTTCCGTATTGCCCAATAGGCGCCCGTGCGGCTCCGATGTGGCCGGAGGAGGAGGTGTTGGGGCGGCTGGACGCCGAACGGCCGTTCACGTCTACGCGGTGACGTCACGCGCCGACGCACCTGTCGGGCTCCGGATCCCTGCTGCTTTTCTTCCCCTTCCGCGGGTCGGGGCCAGTCTGTTCCGGAACCTGCAGCACCTTTCTCGTAGTCCAAGTTCGCCCGCGGCCGGAATCTGGCTGCGTGTTGAGGAAGGAGGGTGTGGTGGGTTGAAAGCCATTCTACTTCATTCCCGAGTTAGACCATGGATTCAGTTTTAGTCTCTTAAAAGGGACGTGATGTTGGAGATTATTTCCAGTTTTGGGTAGCAGCAGGTTGACTCCAGGGCCCAAAGCAAGCGGATTTAACTTAATGGTGCTCCCGTGTTTGGAGGAGGACCAAACAAATAAATAAATAAAAAGTCCCACCTGGCAAAATTTCCGTAACCTCGTCCGTCGAAAACCCCAGGTGTCTTAAATTGCGATAGTTTTTGTCGTGTCAAGCTGCTGCTTCAGGCGGAGCTCCCAGGGTTAGCTAGGTTGGGGGGTTGAAACAGATGCAGAATCCAAAGGCAGTGCAGAAAACAGCCACCGATTTTGCTATGCCTCTGAGCTGCAAGGTGAGTTGCATTCTGTGAGTGAAAATTCGTTAGCTGTCCTGTTCACGGTTTGGGGGTCAACTGTGATACCAAAGGGTGTCATCTTGGTTTATGTATAACAGATTTACCTACGTGATGTTAAGTCCACGCTGATTAGATATATACCCTCGAACATACTGTAATATTTCACCTCTTTGGTCCAGGAAACGTCGGAGGACCTTTGAATAGACGTGGGTTCAGGAAAAGATTAAAATTTGAACTCAGAGAGTAGGATATACTTTCGCTAAATATGCCCAAATTTAAAGTAAATATTTAGTTTTTATTTCTTTAGGTGTGTGTGTAAATATAAAACGTTTGTGTTTTGATCTTGGACAAGAAGCTTCCTTAGACGCTCATAAATTAATTTTGCACATGCTTCACTTGTATAGCATTTTAAAACTGAAGCACATAGGAGGCAATTATATTTACATTATGCACATTTATTACAATTGAGTCAACAGTGACCATACCAATACTAATTTTTTTTTTTTGTAATTCAAAAGTTCATTACTGCGAGCTATGTAAACTTTTTTTTGATCTATACATTCAGTTACTGTACCATCATTGTGGCTTGTGTCATTGATTGTTGAATCTTTCCAGAAGTGATTTTCTTTTCATCTCTAAAGAGTTAATTTAGACACTTTTTTCTTGATGAGGTCTGTATGGAAGTAATTTAACTGATGTCAATTTTATGTACCTTATTCTACATTTATATACCTTATGTGATCACTACATGTCTAATAACTCAAAGACTTTGATTCTTTGCTTGAAAAAATGGGTCAAATGATTTTAAGAAGGCGATATGAATGTTTAGTACCTATATTGTTATTTGGAAATTTTTAGCATGTGTTTTCAATCATATGTTGCTTATTAGGAATGCAAATGTTTAACCAGATTTTGGATATAGACAGTTCAGGGAAGCAGATTTGCTGAGGTTATGATTTTATGTTAGTAAATTGGCATTTTTCAGGTCACATTGGTGTTAGGCTTTCCATTTCCTGTTTTGACATGTAATAATTTTCAGACCTCTCAGGAAGCCAGATTTGATCTCTGTGGTGGGTCAGATATCAAAGCGGTGCAGTTTGCCTTGTAAAATCATGAAAATTACTTGGTTTTCAAAGTATAAGCCTTCCATGGCATCTTTTTGTTGGATTTTTGTTTACCTTTCTTACTTGTTGTAGTCTGAGCTTTATATTTGCGTGTGTGTGGTTTTGTTTTTTTTTTCATTTTAAAACTCATCTGGCATTTAATTTTTGCATGGCTCTTAACATTTTTTATGAATCAAGGAAATTTTCTTCAGAGTAGACAGCTACTTCCTTTAGGAAGTTATCCATTTCATACTTTTTTGAATAAAAATATATAAGGCATAGCAATTTGAACATCCAGCTAACTTAACAGTAATCAAGTAATACTACTTATGGAGAAATCAGTTTCTTGTCATACCTTGCATGAATTGACAATGTGTGTCAGAATAAATTCTTACTACTGTGACGTCCCAGCCTGAGTTTCATGATGTCATGTTGTAATAAAATAAATTTTGAGAAGCCTTTCATAAATTTTGTTTATGAAGTTAATGCTTACTACAGATTTTTCTGAAGAATCTTTCTTACACTTTTAGCCATTACAGATCTAGATGCAGATGAGCTTTATTTACCCATGCTTATTTGACCATGAAACCTTTGACTGGACTTGTTTCTGTGCATATACTCATCTCCATATATACTTGTTGCCTTCTTGGCTCCACAGCTTGATGCATGCCAGCTCTTTTGCTTTAATTAACAGCCTCTTCACCCATCTCTGCCCCATAAAATCCCACTTACTTTTTAAGGTCCAGCTTACATGCGTCTCTTCCAAAGAAGGCTTCTCATCATCAAATAGAGTGGAGTATAGTTTATTTCTGAGTTCTTATAACGATTCTTGTGTCTTCTGTGATATCTGTCATGTATTGCCTTTTACTTTGTACATGTATAGTAATTTATGGGAAAATATAAAATTCATTTAGGGGATAGTATATAATTCATACTGAAGGTTACTGAAAGTTGTAAGTCATGTACAAATATGCTATTAATCATTAAAATTGTGTTTATGTTTTTTACAATTTTTGGTACATTAGTTCTATAAACATTAGTAGATGAATAAATTATTGTTTAAATTTATTGTCACATTTTAATATGTGATCAGTATTTAGCACATATATTTCTTAAAATACTTACATGAAAATTCTTCTTACATACAAATGGCTAGATCAGTCAGTTTCAATTCCTTGCCATCATTGTTCTTGAGAGTTTGTCTCTCTCTCTAGTTGCTTACATTTGGGATTTTCATTTCTTTCACTCAGATTGTGCATACTTTTCTGTCAGCCCACTTGCCAACCAGATAGCTGACTGACATACCTTTGACATTTAAGTGTAGTCCTCAGTCCTAACCAGTCTTCTTTATGAGTGAGGTGAAGCTTTTTTGGGAGCTATAAAAAATCAGTATACTACTTCAGTCTGTTAGCCACTTAACCGTCCGTTTCCAGGGTCTTCTTATTTCTCACTCCTCCCTACCCATTGCAGTTTGGGGGTTAGATTACATTCCCTTCATTGTAGTCTGGCTTTGAATAGGACTAAAGCCTGGATGTATGAGGGAGGACCCCCCCAAAAATCCAGAATTCTCTTCTGGAGGGTGGGCCCCTTGTAGTATAGATTTCCTCTGCTAGGTGAGTGTTCTAGTAACCCATCTGTATCAGTGCACCATCTAGCGTTGTTGTGAGAGGCTGCATTCGGTTTCAGTGAGTTTTTTTTTTTGAAACACATTTGCCCATTTTATGATGGGTGATTTACGAGTGTAGTTGTTGACTAAGAATGGCATGCCGCACCTTTCCTAGTCACTCTATCTCGCCTCCCAACCATTTTCTGTTTCCCTGGTGAAACAGTCCTCAAAGGAAAATGTTTTGCTGATGTGTAAGTGGTGAAGCAAAAATGGCAGAAGCACTAAAAGGCATCAAAATTGATGAGTTTCAAAACTGTTCTGAGCAGTGGAAAAAATGTCTTGATCAGCATATTACAGCAAATAGAGAGTACTTTAAAGGTGACTGAAGCTTAAACATGTAAGAATAAATATACAGCTTTTTTTAAATAAATAAATTCTGGGGTTTTTTTTTTGGTTCCCCCTTGCAATTCTACAGCTGGAAAGAACACTTAAGTCTTGAGTCCTGTAAACCGCAGGAGGCAAAACTTTATTTCTTCCATTTTGAATGAATTAGTCAAGTTAGAAACTTAACAGATATCTTAGATTTCTTCTTTACTATTCCCCATGTTTTATTAGTTACCATAGCCTCTTAAATGTTTCTCAAACTCTTTCTATGCCTCCATGTTGCTATGCCTTATTTCAGTATGCCCCCGCTCTCTTACATATTTAGAATGTTTAAGGGTCTACTAGAATAAGGGTCGCCCAACCTCTCTCCTTAATCTTTAGCCTTTCAGTCTCTTGCCCTTCTAATCTATCTTCCACCATACTGGCAGCATTGGTCTGCTAAAATTCGTATCTGATGTGTTGTTTCTCTCTTCAAACTCTTAATGGCCTCCCATGTGTACAAATGCGTAAATAAGTTCCTTAGCATTACATGAGCCCCTTTCTTGATCTACCCTATGGTCATCTCTCTAGCTACTCCTCAGTCCTCTTCCTCTTCTCTTCTATAAGCCACCCAAGCAGGTTTTGTTACTATGCTGCTGTGTTTTTGCATATTTTTGTCTATATTGACTTTATCTTATATTTAGCCTAACTCATCCTCGTCATTCATTACTTAGCGGAAACTTTCCCTCTGTTACTAAGTGTTCACAGATTTTCCCAGGCAGCATGCTATTCTTTTTCAGGGTTACTGAATACCTTGTGTATAGCTCTCCTATGGTACTTACCACACATCATGCTGTAGTTATGTATGCCTTTAACCTCACTGCCTTGGGAGTAGGGACATCTTACTTATTACCCCAGTACCTGGCTTTGTGCCTGGTATATGCTAGCTGTCGAGTAAATGGTTGTTGGAAGAATTAATAAATAACTCTGAAAACTAACTTTGGCTACTAGGTAGATGGTGATCCTGTAAACTCATTTAGGGAGGTAGGAAGATAGACAAGGTTGGGGCAAATATTTATTCAGTTTGGCTCTTGTTGAACTTGAGTTCTCACACAACATTTAAGTAGAGAAGTGCCATCCATTTGTTATGCATTTGTTATTCATTCATGCTACAAATGTTAATTGGCCCAGAAAGATTTTGTAGATATAGACAAGATTATTCTAAAATTTATCTGGAAAGGTGGAGGAACTAGAATAGCTAATAAAGTTTTGAAAAATAAAAATAAAGAGTGAGAAATCTACTTATTTTCAAGACTTATAATCAAAACTGTGGTATTGCTGTAGGTAGAGACACACATCAGTGCAACAGAACAGAGAATTCTAGAATAGGCCCACACAAACATGCGCACCTAATTTTGGCAGAGGCACAGAAGCTGTTCAGTGGAAGGAAGATAATTTTTCAGCAAATGGTGCTGTTAGCAATTGAACGGCCACATATCAAAAAAAACAAAACAAACAAAAAAACAAACCTCAATCTATGTCTTAAACCTTATAAAAAATTCACTCACAATGGATCATGAAGTTAAATGTAGACTGTAAAACTCTAAAACTTTTAAAAAAAAATTCAGAAGAAAATTTTTGCAAGGTGTGTTTTTAGTTTTGACACCAAAAGCACTGTCCATAAAGGAATAATTGATAAACTTCATCAAAATTAAATATTTTTGCTCTGTGATAGGCCTGGTTAAAAGGAATAAAAGTTACAGAGTGGGAGAAAATGTTTACAAACAGCATATCTAGGATATAGATTCTAAAATATAAAACTCAGCAGTAAAAAACCAATCCATTTATAAAATGGTCAAAAGATATGAACAGTCATTTCATTTTATAGGATATGCAGATAACAAATGAGCACATAAAAAGATGTTCAACATCATTAGTGATTAGGGAAATTTAAATTAAAATAATGAGAGATCACTATATACGTATTAGAATAGCTAAAATAAAAAGTGACAACATCAAGTGCTGGTAAGGACATGGAGAACCTGGATCACCCATACATTGCTAGTTGGAATGTAAAATTGGCAGTTTCTTAAAAAGCTAAACATGTTGCCTTGGCTGCTGTGGGTCGGTGGATTGAGTGTCAACCCACAACAAAAAGGTCACTGGTTCAAGTCCCGGTCAGGGCACATGCCTGGGTTTCAGGCCAGGTCCCCAGTTGGGGGCATGCAAGAGGCAACCAGTGGATGTTTCTCTCACACATCGATGCTTCTCTTTCCCTCCCTTCTCTCTCTCTAAAAATAAATAAAATCTTTAAAAAGAAAAAATAACCAAACATGCAATTACCTTATGACCTACCTATTGTTCTGCTTGGCTTTCATCCCAGAGAAATGAAGACTGAAGTTCAGAAAAAAACCTGTATATGGATATTTATAGCAGCTTTATTCATAATAGCCAAAACCTAGAAAAGAGCCACATACTCTTCAGTGGGTGAATGGTTGAACGAACTGGTACAGCCATACCATGGAATGCTACTCAGCAATAAAAAGGAAGGAATGATTGATACATGCAACAACCTGAATGAATCTAGAGAATTATTTCGACTACAAGAAGCTAATCCCCAAAAGTACCATAATGAGTGATTCCTTTTATGTGACATTCTTCAAATGGCAAACTTACAGAAATAGAAAACAGATTATAGGTTGCCAGGGGTTAAGGAAAGGGTAGAAGGGGGCTGGAAGAATGTGGTGGTAGCCATCAGAGGGCAACAAGAGGGATCCTTGTGGTGATGGAAACGCCCTGTGTCTTGACTATCAATGCCAGTGTCCTGATTGTGATACTATACTATAGTTCTACAGGTTACCATTTGTAACTAAGTGAAAGATACAATGATCTCTCTATATTATTTATTACAGCTGCATGTGAAATCACAATTATCTCAAAATAAAAATTCAGAAAAAAAATAAACACGTGGTATGTGCCATGTACTGTGCAAATCATTGAATATGTCATGTTGAGCAGAAAGTGGCACAGTGCCAGAATTCATGCTACATTCTAGGAGGGAAGACAGACATTTAAATAATCACATACATAAGTACAATTTACAACTGTGATAAGTGTCAAAAAAGAGAAAAGGGAGAGCTAAAAGAACTAACAATGAAAATCTGACCTAGTCAGGAAAGATTTGCCCAGGTAATAAGTAGGTCAAGGGAGATTTTCCTTACTAGCTGCATGGCTTTGGACAAGTTATTTAAACTCTGTGCTTCTGTCTCCTCACCTGTTAAGTGGGGGATAATAATAGCACCTAAGCTTTAGGGTTGTGATTGTATTTAATACAAATATTAAATGAGCTAATGTGTAACATGCTTAGGATAGTGCCTAACATATTGTAAACTTAAGAATTTGTTAAATAAAGGGATACTTGATCTGAAGAATGAGTAGGAGAGTTGCTTAGATGAAGAGGAAAAGGGTATGTTCCTGGCAGAGGGAGCAATCAAGGCACTGAGGCTGGAGGCAGGAAAGCCTGGTAGGACTGGGAGGAAGATTAGTGTGAGTCAAGAATACTACAAGAACTACACACTAAAAAAATGGAGCTGGAAAACCAGGTAGAGGCTAGGCTACCTAGGACTTGGTCTGTTCTGTTCAACTCTGTCCGCTAAGGGTGCTGAGAAATGATTAAGACTAACCCATGGAGTGGGAGAGATTCCTGGTCAGACTTGTTTTGAGGAAAGACCATGCTGGCTGCCATGTGGAGGGCAGATTAGAGGAGGTCATGATGATTCTACATAGGTCATGTAGGAATTTACTGAGTGAACCAGGTTTTATTCCTGGAGATTTTCATTGGTTTATTGCTATAATCTTCATAACTCTGCAAAAAATATATTTGCAAGCTATTGTATCTGTCATAATGTTTTGAATATATACTTGACAATTAAAAAGGAAAAGGTGACTGCAGTATTGTTTTCATATGCAAAATTTCAGGTGCTGTATTATTATGATTTAAAATAGCCTTTTGTTAAACAGAAGGAAAATTTACTGAGGATAAGAGATTGATAACACTTCAAGTCTTCAGTACTAGAATTCAGCACTAGAATTGGAGTATGCTTAGCTCCATTCATCTTTTATTTTCTGTATATACTTATTATGACATATCTAGTAAGTCTTGTTTTACAAGGCTTACTGGTTTAGCAATTTTTATGACTATCTTTCAACTCCCACACATGAATCTTCCAAGTCTATTGCTAATATCTACCATTTGGATGTTGAGCAAGTAGGTAGATGCATTAAAAAAAAAATTAAACTAGGAGTAAACCAATGAAAATGTATGCTTGTTTGATATTATCTGCCTTGAAAACATGAGAATTGTTACATATTATCATATTTTCCATGACTGATATTTGACCATGGGCCCTGAAGATTGAAATTTTAAAATGATGAAAGGAAAATAAAATTAATATTAAAATAATTTACATTGCAGTATTTAAAACTAGTACTTGCCTCTCCTAAAATATGCAAAAGGGACAGTCTCACTTTCAGACCTGGTACATTAACCATCTTATTCCTTTCCCGTACGGACAAATTTCTTAGAAATCCCTCCAGAGACAGTGTGTATATGCACAAGCAGTTACACACTGTACTCACTCTGCCCCCACATATATTGTAGTGTACTATAAACACCTCTCTGTACTTTGTTCTTTAACTTAACCATTGATCTTGGAGGTTGTTTTAGTCATGTACCTCTACCTGAAGAAACCCGTAATTCTTTTTTACTGCTGCATAGTGAGAATTATTAAATCATCCCAAAAGACTTAACATGATAGATGTTTAGCTGTTGTTACAGTGAATGAACTTAGTATTTTTTCAATACAGAGATCAGATGTTTCTTTTTGTCATGTACTAGTTAATTTTTATTATATGTTGGGAAATTTGGGAAATTTTTAAAATGATTTTTCTCCTTTTTTCAGATAACCAGACAGCTCAATGGAGTCTGAGCAACGTACTAGTTAATTTTTATTATATGTTGGGAAATTTGGGAAATTTTTAAAATGATTTTTCTCCTTTTTTCAGATAACCAGACAGCTCAATGGAGTCTGAGCAACTGTTCCATAGAGGCTACTATAGAAACAGCTATAACAGTATAACAAGTGCAAGTAGTGATGAGGAACTTTTAGATGGAGCAGGTGTCATTATGGACTTTCAGACGTCTGAAGATGACAATTTGTTAGATGGTGACACTGTAGTTGGTAAGTTTGGAATTACAACTCTTAATATTTGTAGTCAGGAATATCTGTGAATCTGTGTATATTTGTTTTATTGAGGTTGCATTTTTGAGTTACTTTAAAAACTGAGGTGATCCATGTAACGTAAAAACCACTTTTGAAGTGTACAATTCAGTGGCGTTTAGCACATGAATGATGTTGCGCCACTACTGTCTCTTTCTAGTCCCAAACATTCTCATTCATTACCCCAAAAGAAAACCTTGTATTTGGATGAACTTTAAAATTGAAACATAACATAATGCAGAGATGTACACAACTGTAATTGGGGTTCTCAGAGAAACAGAACTAATGGGACATTTACTGACAGGTAGGAAGATACTTACTATGAGCAATTAGTTCGCATGATTGAGGAGGCTAAGAAGTCGCATGAACTGCTCTCTCCAAATTGGAGGCTCAGAAAAGTTGCTGGTGTAATTCTAGATTTAAACCCAAGTGCCTGAGAACCAGGGGAACCAGTGGCAAAGTCCCAGTTTGAGTCTGAAGGCCCTGGATCCTGAAGCCCTGATATCCGAGGGCAGCTCAAGCAGAGAGAAAAGTCACCTTTCCTCTGCTTCTCTGTTCTACAATACATATTCTGTTCTGCAATACATATACATGACAAAGAACTAATAATCAAAATGCATAAAGAACTCTTATAAAACATGGAGTCACATGTTTTAGCTGTTCACAGCTAAAAGATGGCCACTTTCACTGGTGAGGGCATCTTTTTTTCAGTCGCTCAATTCAAATGTTAATCTCTTCTAGAAGAACCCTCACAGACACATATACACCAAAATAATCTTTTACCAGCTATCTGGACATCTCTTAGTCTGGTCAGGTTGACACATAAAATTAACCATCACAACAATCGTCAAATTCGAAGTGTGGAAATTGATGAATTTTTACAAAAGTGAACACCTTATATAACTACCCCTCTTTCAAGAAGGAAAACATTATCAGGACCCCCCAGAATCCTCCCTTCTATAGGTTAGTTTTGCAGGTATTTAACTTTACGTAAATAAAATTATATATATATATTCTTTTGGGCTTGGTGTCATTTACTTTTGCTTTGAGATTCATCTATGTTGTGACTATAGCAGCGGTTAATTTATTTTCATTGCCTTGTAGTATCCCATCGGGTAAACATGCTGCAGTCTGTCTGTGTTCTATGCTTTCTGTATTGTTGACGGATACTTCGGGTTGTTTTTTTCCCCCAGCTTTTGGTTGTTAATAAAATACTAATGCTGCTGTGAATTTTCATATGCATGTGTTTTGGTGCACATTATGCACACAGTTCTGTGCATTTATGTCTTGGAATGAAATTCCTAGATGACAGGGTGTTTGGATCGTAGTGCTACTAGACACTGTCAAAGATGGCTCTCAAGTGGCCGTAGCGTGTACAGGATACCACTTATGTGTGAGAGTCTAGCTTGTTCCACATCTTCACAAATACTTGATATTACCAGTTTAAAAAATTTTGGCTCTTCTAGTGTGGGTACAGTAGTCTTGAATTTTGATTTTAATTTACACTTGCCTGATGACTTAGGAGTTGGAAGTGCCTTTTGTATGTTCATTGACTTTTTAGATTGCCTCTTTTGAAGTGCTTATCAGTTTTTTTGTTTGCCTGTTCTATAAGAGTTCTTTATGCATTTTGATTATTAGTTCTTTGTCGTGTATATGTATTGCAGATTTCTTCTCTCTCAGTGGTATGTCTATTCACTCTCTTACTGGTATCTTTTGATGAGTATCACTGGTTTTAATGAAATCCAGTTAATCTTTTCCTTTTTTCTTTGTGTTTTTGTTTTGTTTAAGATATCTTCCCATACCTCAGTATCATCAAGATCTTTCTTTTAGAAGTTTTATCTTTTCTTTCATACTTAAACGATGTGTGACGATATTGCATGGAATAATCTTCCATGCAATTATTTTTTATGTGTGATGTGGGTTAAGGGTTCAGATTCATTTTTTCCTATATGGAGAACTGGTTGACCCAACACCTGAGATATTTTGGAAAATAATTTTGTACCTGCCAGAAGATGTAAGTGATTAACAAAAGGTCTAAAACTTATATTCCATGTGCAAGGTCATGATAATTTCAGCTATAATAAATTTGAAAGGGAGTAACTATTAACAGACATTTTAAAAAAGCAAAGCAAAGCATTCTCCCAGTATCCACAGCTGCCTGGCTTTGAGTAATATTTAGGTATATCTTTTAAGGAAGTAGTTCTCAGATCTTTTGTTTTCAAGATCTCTCTCTATTCTTAAAAGGTTATTGAAGCCCTGACTGTTGTGGCTTAGTTGTTTGGGCCTCATACTGCAAAGCGAAAGGTCGCCAGTTCAATTCTGGGTCAGGGCACAGGCCTGGGTTGCAGGTTCCGTCCCTGGGGCACGTAGGAGAGGCAACTAATAGATGTTTCTCACATCAGTGTTTCTCTCCCCCTTTCTCCCTGCCTTCCCCTCTCTCTAAAAATAAGCAAATAACATATTTTAAAAAAAGATGATTGAAGACTCTAACAAGCTTTTTTTTTTAAAAAGTACATTACAGATATATTTACCGTATTAAAAATTAAAACAAAAATTTCAATACTTTATTAATTCATTTTAAAATAAAAATAACTCATTATAACATTAATAACATTTATAATAACTATATTTTCCAAAATAAAAATAAACTTAGTGAGAAGAGTAGCAATGTTTAATATCTAAAATAAAAATAAATTTAGTGAGAAGAATGGCAATGTTTTTATAAATGACAGTTGGCCTAATAGAAAGCTAGTCTCTGTGGCTTCTGCATTTGATCTGTTGTCATATGTCATTTGGTTGAAACATATAAGAAATAGATGTTTATATATATATGGTTGCTTCTTGAACAACATTTTGAATTGCACAGGTCCACTTACATATTTTTTTTCAATAAAAATATTAGAAAACTTTTTTGAGACTTGATAAAACCACAAACTATGTAAAAAATTAAGAAAAAGTTAGGTATGTCATGAATGCATAAAATATGTATTTTCTTTTCCTTATGATTTTCTTAACATTTCTTTAGCCTACTTTATTATAAGAATGCAATATATCATATTTAATTGACTATATTTTAGGTAAGGTCAATATTAGAGAGGCTATTAGTAGTTTTGGGGAAGTCAAAAGTAATACATGGATTTTTGGCTGCAGGGTGGAGTGGGATAGTGGTTGCTGGTGCTCCTAACGCCTCTCCTCCCAAGTTGTTCAATGGTCAACTATATAAGGATACCAGTATGTAATCTTATTTGTCCTTCTACAAATAGAGAGTTAGAAAAGGAAGAAATAATTTAAATGACCTTTCAGATCATTTGTGGATATTCTTCTTTAACAGTATACCAAAACTCGACATATGATAATTTCTTAAAGGTTAATTGCAGTGTGGAAACTGAAACCATATTAATGAACATTTTATGCTGTGTTAAATTAAAATCCATTGGCTTTTCTTGTGCTTTGAGTGGATTTGCTACCCATGCATGGCTTTATAATACCATGTATTAGTCATTTAGAAATTGATTCACTGATGTATTAATTTGCTGGGACTGCCATAACAAAGTATATCTATTGTGTGGCTTAGCAGAAATGTATTTTCTCACAGTTTTGGAGGCTAAAGGTACAATATGAAGGTTTTGGCAGGGTTAATTTCTTCTGAGGCCTCAGCTGTCTTCTCTTTGTGCCCTCACGTGGTCTTGTGTGTATCTGTGTCCTAATCTCTTCTTATAAGGATACTAGTCATTTTGGATTAGCACCCACCTTAGTGACCTCATTTAACATTAACTACCTTTTTAAAAGCCCTGTCTCTAAATACAGTCACACTCTAAGGTACTTGGCATTAGGGCTTTTATCATAGAGATTTTGGAGGGGCACAATTCAGCACAAAACACAATTATACAGATCTTTTTAGTGTTCAGACATTTCATTACACAAAATCAAGTCATATTTTTAAATATTGCCACCAATCTCACAATCCCATAATAGGTCTTTGAATGTTGGGAAGCTGTCAGGCTCACAGTGGTGAATACAAGATTTCCAAATTTAATTTTTGCCTGAAAGCTCAAATTTTATTATTGGCAACAAATACTGTTTATTGTTTTACTTGAAGAGACAGTTTCAGTTGATTCATTTTGAGAAAAAAATGTCTATCAGATATCTGTAGTTTGTGTATCAGTTGCGTGTTTGACTAAAAATGATGTTCCATGAAAAATGTTTAGCTGCAACTCAAAAATCAACACAAATGATTGTTTTCAAGATGGAACCATTGTTCAACAGTATTAGCGAATATGTTTTATGTATTCTTCCCATTTGTCACACAGAATATTAAAAATGATGTATATTCAAGAGTTACAATTTAAAAGAATGAATACATTTTTATGTAGGACATTTAGAAGGGAAACAGGCCTTTTGTTTTTTGGGCATGCGTGGGGGAAAGAATGCAATGGCTACTAGTCTGTTTCGGTGCTACTGCTTTAATTTGTACTACATGTAAGCCATTTTTACCTAGTATTCCTTTAGTACCATAAATAGAATGAAAAAGGCAAAGAGCATTGTGTAGATTGAATAATGACCCCTACATCATAATTACTTTACATGATAAAGGGGATTTAGTGGTTTTGAATTAAAAGAGAAGATGGAGTTTATTTAGGATTGTCCTGGTGACTCCATGGTAATCACAAGGGTCCTTAACAGAAGGAGGCAGAAGGATTAGAGTTTGAAGGAAGAAGTTAGAGTGGTAGGAGGAAGGGGACAGGAGTCAAGGAATGCGGGCCGCCTCTAGAAGCTGGCAAAAAACAAGGAGGCAGGTTCTCCCCTGAAGCCTCCAGAAGGAATGCAGCCCTGCAGACACCTTGATTTTAGACTTCTGACTTCCAAATTGTGATAGAATCGATTTGTATTGTTTTAAACTGCTAAGTGTGTGGTAATTTGTTATAGTAGCAGTGGGAAACTGATAAAATATATCACTTAAA